TTTGATTAACAAAATTTTGAATGGTAGTAACATGGTCGAGCGAATAATGTTGTAAATCAAGTGGAAGACCCGCATTCTGCATAAGTTCTACTACTGCCTCTGAATGTTGCTCTTGTTGCCTGCAGAAAGAACGAAATTGTTGTTGTTGTTGTTGCGGGCCATTCACCTCTAGCAATCTAATTCTTTTGAGCCCAATGTTCACAGCCCGTGCAAGACAATACCGATCATTTGGATTAACCACTTGGACAATTGATCGACATTGTGGTTTTAAGTTGTGTTCCACATCAACATTGCATGCACCTTGAATAACAGAAACGCCTTACATAGTTAATAATAATAATATGTAAAGCAAGACTGTTACTCACCTGTATGATCTGCTGGATTGTCTGTCAACTGGGGATTCAGAGGCCAAACAGCAACAACCTTAGTCACTGTGGTGCCCGCCAGCAAGTCAATTCCAGCTTGAGACATCTCATTCAAGCGCTCAATTGCTGCTGCCAACGCTGCAGGATTATTCTGAGCTGGTGGGCGAAGCGGTACTGTGAATGGGTTGTGAAATGCCGGCGGGTGTACTTGCAACCCCACTCGAAGCGGTGGAGGCCGGCCAGCTAATACCCGATCCAGTAATCGTGTGATTAGAGTTGTCATTGTTAAATCTGGCCGAGCATGTTCTTCAAGTGGGTTGAATCGCACATTACAGACCTCCCCTCTGGTATTTCGAGATCTTGAATTTAATTGCTGTACAGATTCGATTATAAATGGGTCGTTATTCATTTCTTGTTGAATTTGTGCCTATAATTAAAAAATTTAAATTCTCATATAAGATTGAATACAATAAATTTTTAAATTGAAGAAATTTTTAAATATTTGTAGGGTCTCTATCTAAATTAGTGAAATACTAAATTAATTGGGGGAGGGGCAAAAGAAGGAATGCCAAAACACGGAACGGATAAAACATGGAACGACAAAACAAGGAACGACCAAAATACTGACCATACCAAAACACGGAACGACCAAAACACAGTCAAGAGAAAATTTTAAAAAACTTTTCAGGATTATTTTTAAATGTTGATTTTCTGATTTTAAAAAATGTTCTGATTTTTAAAAATATTCTGATTTAAATAAATTTGATTTTAAAAATTCTTATTTAAATAAATTCTGATTTTTTTTAAATATGATTTTAAAAGTATTCTGTGTTTTGGACATTCTGGGTTCTGTAGCCCGACACGCCTTAATTGCCCATTTTCAAAACAAATTATGATTTGATTTATTCTTATAAAAACAATTTTATTTATTCAATAAAAAATGTAGGTATAATATGGTTTATAATTATTTAATAATAAAAAAGGCATATATTTAAAATAATTCTATGAAAATTAACTTATTTAAAAGATTAAGGCATGTATTTAAAATAATATTAAGACATTTACTAATTTAAATAAAAGTATTAAGGCAGGCAAGTTAGCAAAAAAAAACTAGGTACTTTATTAATATCCCGCCCCCACCCTTATTTGAGTCTCAGATTTTGCTGTCTTTAATGTCAATCATTTTTTTCCTAAAAGATTACTGGTAAAGAGCAAGTATTAGGAAGGAAAAAATAGCCTTCGGCGGCAAAAATCGGCCTAGCGTAAAATTTAACATTTATAAAGAAGGAAATCTGACCATTCCGAGGCATGAAAATAAAAGGTAAAATTAATCTGAGACTCAAACAGGGGTGGGGGCGGAATATTAATAAAGTAACAAAAAACTAATTATAAATAACATTAGCAAATAAAACAGGGATCCTCTTGCCTTAATTTTAAAAAGTAATAATTTTAGTATTAAGTATTGGCTGAGGATCCCTGCCCATCGCGTGCGCGCCCGTCAACCGCCGCGCCATGAAGCATGTCACGGCGGCAATACGGGCACACACGCGAGCCTTGCGCCCACTTAACAAAACAATTATAATGCATTTTGTGGAGGCATGCCATAAAAACAACTCGGGTGCCTGCAAAAGGCTCCTTGCAAAAGCATTCTTCTTCTTGGGCGTCAAAATGAGGAGGGAGCGTTACCACATGTAATTCAAATTTTTTTACCTCTCGCGCTCCTAAACCCTCATTATCCTCATCATCCTCAGGGACCTCCAACTCCAAACCATTTTCACGGAAAAAATATGCAGGTCTGCGGGGTGGAGTCACTTCAACAACTTCTACGTCATCATCATCATCGTCATCGATGACAGCTCTCACTAAATTAAATTTTTTTTGCTAGGTTAGAATTAAACTAGTACCCCTCCCTAAAATCAATACCCCCCCCCCCTACCTAAAGACAACTTCACAACTAGAAAACTAACCGTTATTTTGAACGGCCTCTGGATTGACATATACTCCAAGAGGTGGAGTTCTTCCAATACGGCCATGCAAGCGTGCAGATACAGCCCTTGAAGCTGGGGGCCTTCCAGAAGCCCGGAGCGCCGATGTTGCAGCTGCCACTTCACGCTCGCGGGCATTCTGGAAGGCCCAGAATGGTGATGGCGATGGGGGTGCTGCTGTTGAGGATGATGATGATGACTAGAATACATTTTAAAAACAAATAGTTTATTAATTAATTTTAAAAAATTTTTATTTTAAACCAGGGTTACGATCTACAAAAAAACGATTTAAAAGTACATAGGGACTAAATTTCCAAATAAAAAGTACACTCCAAATTAAAACATAAAATATTTATTCGTGCTCAAATCTTTTATATTTCTCTCCTAAATAAATCTTTTCTAATAAATCCTTGTTTCGACTGAACATTTTGTGCATTTACCTAATTATTTATATATTATTTCAATATTACAAACAATATTCATTATAAACATTATTAAAAAATTTCAACCAAAAAAAAAAAGATTATTCAAAAAATTTAAAAATTAATTGTCAAATTTTAAAATAATAAAATTAAAAACTATATTTTTGACCATTATACAATTATTAAATTATTAAAAATTAAAAAAAACACTTTTTTTTCAAAATATATACGTTTATATATTTTCATCAGAAATTAAATAATTTTTTAAATTTTATCAAGAATTATTTCAATTTTATGTAATAACTTTAAAAATAAAAATTTCCAACATCTATGAATTGAAATTGATAAAAGCATTAATTTAAATAAATTAAATTAAAAAAACATTACATTCTCAAAGATAAAAATAATTTTTTAATTTTATCAAAGAAAAATAGCAAATTCAATTAAATTTAAAAATAGAAATTCACACCATTTATAAATTGTAATTGTCAAAAAACATTATTTAAAAAAATTAATTAGATAAAATTTAAAAAAACATTTTTCTAATTTTTAAATGAATTAGATGATATTTTAAAAATAAATTTTTTTTCAAAAAATATTACACCTGATTAAAAGAAAACTTTAATTTTATCAAAGACATGAATTTTATTTAATAAAAAATTTTTAATTCCATTTAAAACTAGAAATTCCCAACTTTTATAAATTGCAATGTCACAAACATGATTAATCTAAAAAAATTGAAATTAATTATATAAAATTAAAAAACAATTTTTTTTCAAAAAATTTTAATTTAATTAATTAGATAATATTTTAAAAACAATTTTTTTCAAAAAAAATATTATTACATCTGAGATTAAATAAAAAAATTTATATCCGTTTCAAAATAGAAATTCTTAACATTTAGAAATTGAAATTGTCAAAAACACTATTAATTTAAAAAAAATTTTTAATTAATTATGTAAAATTTACAAAAAAATTTTTCAAAAAATATTTTAAATCTGGGATTAAATAAAAAATTTAACTTTATCAATGACATATAAATTTTATTTAATAAATAATATAACAAAATTAGTCAAATTTAAAAATAGAAATTCCAAACATTTATAAATTGAATTTGTCAAAAACATAAATAATTTTTTAATAAAATTTAATTAATTAATAAAATTTAAAAAACAAATATTTTTTTTCAAAAAATATATTGCAAGAGAGATTAATAACATTTTTTTATTGGAACTTATATGGTTTAGGTACACTTTTTTAGCCACGCCCCTTTTTTCCTTTTCCTTCATTATTTTTAACTCTTTTTCCTTCTCTCCCATCAATCTATTCAGCTGAGGTCAATTTTTTAAATAAATGTACAATTCTTAATGATGTCACTGAATAAATAGACCAAAATTGGTGGTCCGTGGTAATATCTCGGACATAAGTTACACAGGTCCAAAAATGTCTAAAAAGAGGGTAAAAACGGTCAATATCTTGAGAAATAAGATTTTAAACAAGCAAAAGTACCGGACTATTAGTTTTTAATAACTGACATAGATAAAAATAAGAAAATTGATTCAAAAGACTTGAAAGAAAAATTAATCTTTTCTTTGTTCTTCTCTCATCGAACATGCTACATGGAAAATTAAGTGAAATTGAGGAAGAAAGGAACGCTGACCATTCTGCCCATATTAAGGTTGATTGATGAAGGAAAAAGGGAAAAGGGGCGTGGCTAAAAAAAGTGTACCTAAACCATATAAGTTCCTTTTTATTTTATCTAAAAAATATATGAATTTTATTTATTAAAAAATTTAACAAGGTTAATTAAATTTAGAAAATAGAAAACTTGAAGTTGTCAAAAAATTATTTATTTTTTTTACATTTGAAAACTGATTTTTTCGAAAAATATATGAATTTTTTTTTTAAATCATGAAAATATTCAAAAATTAATTTTTTGACATAGCTCAGTTAATTTGATTAATACAAATAAAATGTATAAAAAAATTTTAATTACTAACTAAATTATTGAATTTAGAATAAAACATTTTTAATTGAGTGAAAATAATTTAAATTAAAAAATTACTTAAAAGAAAATCCAAATTATTTTTTTTAAATTCTCCACATCATATCTATTCATTTAATTACTTAAAAGAAAATATAAATTACTTAAAAGAATTTAGTAAAAATTTAACATTATTATATTACTATTATTCGAAAATTTTAAATAATTTAAAAAAATTTTATATCTATATATTGAATAATTTTTCTAAAATATCTACCCCTCGTTGATCCGTAGCACGCTCACGATTTGCACGTGCATTAGTTTGAGAAACACGAGGAACTGGTGCTGCGACTACGTTGTTTGTAGAGCTGCTGCTGCTGCTGCTTGTTCCCTGCATCTCTCTTTGCATTGCCATATTTCCTAATAAAAATTACAAAAAATATTTTTTTCCTAATATTATTATTGTTACCAATAGGAAGTACGTTGTTTGCCGCGCTGTTTGTTCCCGGCATCTCTCTTTGATTGGCAATATTTCCTACTAAAAATTACAGGAATATATTTTTTTCTATTATTATTATTACCAATAGGAATGTTGTTGTTGTTATCAGCGGGAGCCTGCTGCAAATTATTGTTGTTAGCTACGTTGTTGTTGTTGTTTGTCCCAGTAATAGCAAATGCTGACGCACGTGTAAATCGCAAAACAAAAGGTACGGTGCCCGTCCACCGTCCTCTGTTGTCCCCTTGTTCCACCACCGTAAGTGCGGTAAATGTGTAGATCTTTAAAAAATCATTTCATTTAATAATTTTTTAAATTACCTCATTAACCCGGGCAGTCTCAAGAATAGCAGCACATTGATCATAAGCATATATGCCAACAGTCTGAGCATCAGTGCCAAAGCCAAAACTAACACGAACGTCACACCGGTCAAAGCTGCGCCGAAGAGTTGCACCACGATGTACAAATTGAACAAGCCCAGTCAGAGAACTAAAATTTTTAAATTAAATTTTTAATTTTCTACACAAAAAATTACTTAAACACGTGATTTGTGCGCCACCCTGCAAAGGCATAATTGGAAGATGTCAGGCGATTGCGGATATCTATGAGTGGTAGAAGCATAGCCGCAGGCGGCATTTCAATAATATTAGCACGTGCCCTTTCAGCGGCTATTATTGCTTCCACCTTTATAGAAATAAAAAATTTTTTATTACACATAAAAAGAATTTTTATTAAAAATTAAATTTTTAATAACAAAAGTAATTTAATTATTTGTAAAAATTACATCAATATTGTTGTTTGGTAAGTTATTGTTGTTGTTTAGTAAGTTGTTATTGTTGTTTGGTAAGTTGTTTGGAAAGTTGTTGTCGTTGTTGTTAATGTTATTATTTGCAGCTGGTAGAATATTAAGCCCATTGTCGATCCGAGCTCTATTAGTAGGTGGCGCATCAGAAGAATTACTAGCTGGTCGTCGTCGATTGGAACTCATTATTAACTAAAAAATTAAAGTGAATATTAAAAAATTATTTTCATAAATTAAATTGAAAACGGGGGGAGATAATAAACTTTAATTTTATAAAATATTTACAAAAAAAAATAAATAAAATTTATAAAATGAAGTAATGAATTAATGAAATAAGGAGGGGTTCATTTTTGCTCCTTGCACAACCCGCCCATCTACTCGGAAATTTTGTAAAGTTTGACCCGACTGAGAAAAAAAGTTTTTAGGTCTTTTTATATTATAAACTTAATTGTTTTTAAATTTCCATCAATTTTTTATAGTCGGAAGTAACTTATACTTCACACAATCTTTTTTACAAAAGGTTGACCGGAAAGAGAAAAAAGGAGCAAAAACCAACCCAAAAAGTCAACTTTTTTGAAAGATCAAAACTATTTAATTTTTAAAAAATTTTTAAAAATTACTTCAACTGTATATTTATCGATGCATGGCCAGCAATATCCATTTTCCTCCCAATATAATTTGGTCTGCAACGGCACATACCCTCAGCACTATCGCAGTGATTGTCATAAGCGCCACCAGGATCGCAATCACTAGAAAAATATTTAAAAAATTAGTCGAATTTATAAAATATATTTAAATCAAAAATTTTAATTAAATTCATAATTAAATTTTAAAAAAATCCAACATTATGGATATGTTTCATAAAAATTTTACAAAAAAAAATAAAGCCAAATATAAAATTTTTTACCAAGTCTTGCATCCATTAGGATCGTCAACACTTAGTCCATAATGTTCTTGAAGACAATGATCACATTGTTCTCCCATTACAAGAGCTTTACATCTACATTTTCCTGTCACCTTGTCCCAACCTTCATTTTCATAATCCCAATTAGATTTCAAGAACATGGCCGACAACCATCAGGATCTTCTTTTCTCATTTCCCAAAATCCATTTTTACATCGATCACAACTTTAGATAATTAAGAAAATTTTGTTGTTTTCTCAATATTTTTAAAATTACTTTGGCCCATCAACATTGCTTTTGCAATAACATTTTCCTGCAACCAATCCACGTTCTGGCTCTTCTTCACCCTCACAAATTCCTTCGAATTTAGAACCACTGCGATCGCATTGGCATGGTTGCAGACGTATGGATCTCGAATGGATCTAAAAATATATTGCAGTTAAAGAAAACTTATCAAGAATTCTTCAAATTCCGAATTTTTTTATTTTCGCAACCCAAAAAAGATCAATTACTTAAACAAAGTTAATGAAATTTTTAAAAATCGGGACTTTGTAAAATTCTGTAAAATTAAAACATTTTCTTTAAAATAAATAAGCCTCGTTTATAGAATATATTGGAAGGGGATTAGAAAATAAATATTATTTTTAACTTTGAATATTTATTTTATCTAGCTGTCCATACTATTATCCTTAAATTCACAACTTTTCCATTTTCCAAAATTTTTACCTTTGAGGAAAATTTGGTTTGCATTGCTCACAATTGTTTCCCATTTTGTTATGTTGACAATCATCACAAACACCTCCAGAAGAAAATCCAGAAGCATTATAAACTGCCCAATCAAAACCAACAATGCAGGGAAAATTGCAAAAGGTATTGTCCAAAAGGACTAAACTAGTCTGCAATTAATGAAATTAAAAATTATTTTTATATTTTTTAAAACCTTTTTCCCGTAGCTTACAGCAAGTTTAGAACCTCCAATTACAGCCAAATCTTTTCCATTACTCCCATAAGGTAATCCAGTTGTGGGATCCTCATTACTAGTTCCTGCCAATTTATTGCAGGCAAATTTGTCACTTCTAGCTGAGGGCTTTTGCTAATAAATTTAAATTTTAATATATATAAGTATTCTAAAATGCACTAACTTGAATACGTCTTTGTTGATTAGGAATTGTACTAGGAGGCTCAATTCGAATGCTAAAAATTAAAAAAATAATTTACTTATATTTTTTGAAAAATTAAATTCTTAAATTTAAAAAAATAATTTATCAAAAAATTCCGACCTCGGATCCCATTCGCCGGTCATTAACCGGTCAGTGCATCTAAGAATTCATCAATCCCATCTAGTAAATCCGAACATTGTTTTGCCATGTAGACAACTTTATGGAATATCCTTAAAAAATTTTATCTAATTTTATTCAGTAAAAAATTCATATTTAATACTTTTCGGATTTTTAAAAAAATATTTTTAATAAAAATGCCCCATCTAAATTAAAATGCATAACCTAAAAATGAGTCCCCAGAGATTTGTAAGGATAACCGATAAGTGCCAGTATTAAAAAAATTTTTTATTATTTAATTTCACCTCGTCACTCATTAAAGTAGCAGTCGCTCGACCAATTTCCTTCGGGCAGCATGAACTTAAGGGTCGAGAAGTGGGAAGAGAATACTCCTTAGCCCTTGCAAAACAAAACGTTTTGCTTTGATTTAACAACCACAAGTATTAAGGCAGCAAGTTCCCCGTCACTCCAAATTTGGTGACGGGGAACTTGGAAAACCCTAAAAAATTAAAAGTTGCTTTAAATAAAAAACAATAGTTAATGCAAGAAAAAATTAAAATAAAACGGGCAAAATAAATCTAACTGTAAAATATCTGAAAGCAAAAGAATTGGATAAAAATATTTCTATCGATTTACTTAAAAACACCTAGTTGTTAAGAGAGAGAGTATACCCCTGCAGAAAGAAAAATATAGCCAGACATTTTTGTTCTTACTCAACTGCCTTTTTCTGCAGTTTTTTATATAGGCACTAACATTTTTATTGAATACAACGCATTCTCTCTCTCTCTCTCTCTGCAAAAGAGAGAGAGAGATGCTATATTAAAAATACAAGCGGGTGTAAAAGGATTGGATTATATGATTTAATTAAATTTTATTCTACTACTAAAGTGTGGTTAATTGGTAACGCACTCGCCTAGTAATAAATGGTCTACGGTTCTATTCCACTTGTGGAATTTTATTTATTTAAAAAAATGACATTTTTAATTGCGACTTTTTAAAGATGTGACAAACTTGGCCAGTGACATTTTGTCCATGGACATTTTGTCATGTGGCATTTCGTCGCCTGGCATTTTGGCTTGTGACATTCTATTCCTTGACATTTTGTCATGTGTCATTTTGTCGCGGGACAAAATGGCAAATAGCTGGCCCGCCCTCTCCTCCGGCCGGCCAGGCCGGAGGAGAGGGCGGCCAGGGAAAAATTCCTCTAACACCCCTCACCCGATATTTGTCTCTCCTATAATCGTGTAGTCTATCATCAATCAATAATTTATTAGTGGACATATAGTAGTCTCAATGTATTGATGCTGAAGCATTCGTCCTCGATACAAAATTTAATATTATAAGAGGATTATTAATAATTTTATGTACAATTATTTTTGTTTTACTTTTGCGTATTATTTGGTATTACAAAACAAACACAGTGAAATTACATACAAATTTAATTGTAAACTAAATTTAATTATTAATAAATTGGGTTAAGTTTTGACGGTGGTAAAAGTCGATTTTTCTCGAAGAGCTAGGATGAAGGGTATCACACCCTCTTTAAGAAATGATTATTGAATCAGTTATAGGTTCCGAAAAATTAAAAGACTATAGGGAGGAGTACAATGATTTTTGGGATAAAAAATTCATATATGCAAATGAAGCCCTTTCAAACGAGTTTGCAAGCTAATACATTAACACTCAATCAAAACAGATTATTTTAAATTTTTAGATTTTAATCAGCAACGTTCTATTTCTTTATGCAATTTATGCACTTTCATTTATGCTAGAAGTTGTTATTAATTTTGTCGGTGTAGTTTTCGAAAGATCCCATAATAATTAATTTTTAGATTGTTTTATTCACATATTCAAATCCCTGTGATTGTTTAATAAAAGTTTGGTTAGTTTATCTGATTAGAATGCCACAATACATCTACTATCTTGGCTCTCCTTTATTCCATCTTGCTATAATGATTGAACGTCTTTTGGCTACAATTTATGTTAAAATTTATGAGAAACAAGGGAAAATGTTCGGGGTTATTAGCACAATTATTGTGGTAATTATTTTCAGTTTTATTAATTTCAAAATTCTAGTGGATATTTAATTTAATATTTGGCCTTTACCTTTACATTACAACACAAATGGATACCGACTAGGGTTTCACCGGAAGTTCCGGTTCCGGTTCCGGTTCCGGAAAGTTCCGGCCTTTTTTTGGTTCCGGTTCCGGGAACCGGAACTCAAATTGGTTCCGGTTCCGGTTCCGGCTCCGGTTTACAAATTGGTTCCGGGCAAACCGGAACTTTTTTACACCCCTAACGATCCCTTTTTTAAAAAATATTACTAAACTACTCGCACTCTCGGTCTTTGTATTAATGGAAAAATCGAAAGAAATATGTTTAATTTCTTTAAATCTCATGTAAGCTGGTGGCCGACTGGTTAAGAGGTTAGTCTTCACCCAAAGCATTAATAATTTAAAGGTAGGTTCGATTCCCTGTTATAGGACATTAAATTTTGATGTTTTTCTTTCCATAAATAAGTTATTTTATAATTTTTATTTTGTTTTAAAAATAATTCTATTTTTACAAGGAGAAATTAGCGCCTTTTTTCTCTCCAAAATTCTTAAAAATTTCTCGTTTGACTAAAAAATGGTTTTCTTCTGAAAAAATTTCTTCTGAAAAAGACGAAATTTGGTTTCTTAGCCGTCCATAATTCTCAAAATTTTCGCCTGCGGCGCTGTAAATAGAAATTGAATGGTACATCCTTGATATGTAATATCGAGTTATTTGGTTGTGATATCAAGAGATTGAGTGGTGTAAGGAAGATATCAGAGATTGGATATCTGGGGATTTGCAGTGAAATTGGGGATGTCGATGAATCAGGATTTATATTTATATCGGTGATTTGATATCTATGGATCTGGTAGGATTAAGGATAATTCGAAGAAATTCTGGGATCAAAGGGGATATATATAATTGGTGGGATATCGGGCATATCATGGGATTTGGGTAGTTCTGTTCGTGTTTTCGGTTCGGTTTTTGTTAACCGAAAGTTTCGATTCGGTTAGTCGTCTCGGTTAACAGAAGGATTTGATGAAACTGACAACCTTACTTAAAATAAAAATTCTTTTTTAATTTGCTAGCAAATTTTTTTAAAGTTCCGGTTCCGGTTCCGGTTCCGGGCCGGAACTTAGAAAAGTTCCGGTTCCGGTTCCGGGAACCGGAACTCAAATTGGATCCGGTTCCGGTTCCGGTTCCGGTCAAAATTTCGGTTCCGGTGAAACCCTAATACCGACACATTTGGACATCCGATGGTTTATCTAATACTAACAACGAAATATAATTTCCAAATAATTATATACCTCACCTTCATTTTCTTGTTTTTGGTAATATGTATAGCTATAGCCGATTATTATTTAATTGTTCGGAATCGTAAAATTAAATTAAATTTGTAAGTAAATATACAAATAAATTATTTAATTTAACAAATTTAAAGTTTCAATTCAACAACAAATTACAGTCTAAGCAAAAGTTATCAATCTAAACAAAACATTCTTTTAATGAGAATTATTTTTCCTCTTGATTTTTCTTATTCTTTTGTTTTTGCATTATTTAATGCTCTTGCAAACTTTTTACGATACAATCGCGATGATTATGGCCCACTTGTTTATGTACGAACATATGAAGGGATAACTCTAGTAAATATTTAATAATCTAGTAAAGGCAAATTTTCAGTTGACTCCCCATCACCTGACGAGTGAGGGGGGCTTTTCATTTTTTCTTCATTCTGTCCAACAGGGATCCTCAAAGTCCGTCTTTTTTTGCTCTTCCGCCTTCCGTCTTCCGCTTTTTAGGCCCTCTTCCGCCACCGTGTGGAAAATGAACAGTCAATATCATGGGATTTAGGTGATTAAGTGGTATATCAAAGGATTTGGTCAAAATTTCTACTTCTTTTGCACTACAGGCGAAAAATTAGAGAATCCTGGAAGGCCAAAAAAATCTTCCATTTTGTCGCCGAAAAATAAAATTTTATCAAAAATTCGAAAATCATAAAAGAAAATCGACATTTCGGATCAGCTCTTGTGGGGAGTCAACTGGATATTTACCTCTATAAAATCTTTAAATTATCATATTAGTGATTCGAATAAATTAAATTAATATTTAATTTTATATTTATAAAAATCTTTTCTAATTTAAGTTACTTCTAATTCACGCCATAATAACTTTAATTGTTTACAACTATTTTTTAAAGAAGCAGAATGAAATTAAAAAGAATTTTGTTAAAATTAATATGAATATAAGTTCAGAAATATATTTTAAAAATTTAAATCTTTCCTGGAAATGAATTTTTTGTATAATTATTTTTTAAATAAATAATTCTTTTTTAATAAAAATTTTATGTATGATTGTATTAATTTCAGATGAATTTAAAGTTAATTTTCTAAGCTAAAATTCCCAATAATAACTTTTCTAAGTCAAATTAATTATGATGATTCATTGTTGACTTGAAAAATTTTTACAAAATTTTTTCTGCAAAATCCTGCGGTTTAATTTTACGAATCCTCTTTTTTAAACTACGAAAAATCATATAGTTTTTAAAAATATTTTAAAATGAATATACAGCGTAGTACGCAGATGCAAAGGATTAACCAAATAAGATTCCCGTTCAAGTCTCAGCAGGTGCAAATTTCCATAAACCTGGTTTCTTCGATTTTTCTATAAGCCTGATTAAAATTCTGAGAATTTTAAGGAAAGAATATAGAATTAATTAATGTTATTATAAATAATTAATGTTATTAAATGACTTAAAATAAGTAGCTTAAAAAAGATTATTTTAATTTTTATGGAAATAAAAGCAAATGTAGTAGATTAACTTATTTAACAGAATAAATATGTCATTACTTGGATCTTATAAAGTATCAAATGATAAATAATTTTCATAAGATGATAACAGAATTTGGAATTTTTGAATATCAAACGAACTAATCGCCGTTTAGAGGAAATATTTTCGTTAATTATATCCGTTTATTGTTTCGTTTAATTTTGACAAAAACCTTTTTATTAACGGAGAACCAGCAATTAGTTTTGAGGTAATTAGCCCCGCAATAAATTTTATATCATTTATTAAGTATATTCTTAAAAATTGATTTATGATTCAAATGTAAATTTATTTATATAATTTTTAGCTCCAATCAGATTGCAAATTTCTAAAATAAATTTCTGTGCCATTATTCATTCCCTTTTTAATAAAATTCTTGTTAATATCATTCTGTTTCTTCAAAAAATAATCGTAGACAAATAATGTTAAGATAGCAAGGACAATAATTAACTTAAATATTTATTGAAATTGAGTTAATATTTAGATAATTTTTAATTTTTTATTTAAAGAATTGCTGAAATTGATTATTAATAGGGCTTGACTTTTTTTCAACTTTAAGGGATATTTTTTTTTCTTTTAACTGTTTATCGAGAACGTAAATGTCTAAGATTAAATTAACAAAAAATTGAGTTAAGGCTTATCAATTTCACATACTAAAAAATAAATTAAGATTAGAATACCGTATTTTCTCGATTAATTACCCACTCTCGATTAATTCGATATGCCAGGGATGTGTTGAAAAAATAATTCCCCAGGGGAGTTAATCGAGAAATATTATTATCACTGATTAATCATTACTGATTCATTGATTAAAAATATTTATCACTGTCTTAAAAAACTTTAAGTTTTCGAATAATAAATTTTTGTTTACCAAAATAATGCCGTCATAAGTACGTACATAAACAAGCTGACCATATTCTGAGCGTTTCGAACGGATAAATGTCGATAAAATATTAAACAATGCATAAACAACAGTATAAGAAAAATCGAGAGGAAAGATAATCTTCATAACGAGAATATTTTGTTTTGTTTGATAACTTTGACTGAGGCTGTAGGTTGTTATTGAACTGAAACTATAAATTTATTTTTTTGTTTTTAATTATTTTAAATTCTCACAAATTCGACTTTATTTTTTTATTTCGATTAATTAAATAATAATCAGCAATTGCTATACAAATAACCAAAATTAGGAAGAAACTGTGAATGTCAATAAGTAATTGAGAATTGTAAATACTTGTCAAAGTTAGATAAACCATTGGATGACTAAAAGTATTAACATCCATACTTGATGTAATATATACATAAAAACCAAACATTGAGGTTAATATCCACTTTAAAATAAATTAATTAGGGGAAAATAACCACAAAATAATTACCACAATAATTGTGCTAATAACTCCAATCTTTTTCCCCTGATTTTCATAAATTTTGACATAAACTGTAGCCAAAACACGCTCAATCATTATAGCAAAATGGAATAATGGAGAGCCAGCAATTTGAAGATAAAAAGGAATTCTAATCAAATAAACTACCCAAATTTGAATTAAACAATCACAAGAATTTTTGTATGTAAATAGAACAATCTGTTTGTTATAACGTTAAATATTTAATAAATAAAAGATTAAAACTTACAAAGTTCATAAAAACAGCAAGAAAATACGACAAAACAAGAAGTGTATTAAGTAATAAAATATTGGCCAATAATAACTACAAAAAATTTACAGTAATTACATATGTATATTTTATAAATCTAAATTTTAAATAAACTAAGTTTTTCAATTAATATTGCTTGCCGTAAATACATATTCAAACTTTTTCCCCTTTTTTAAAAAGAATCATATCGCTTAAAAATATTCAAGACCAGTACATTAGTTGTTTCCTAGTAGGTTTTTTTCAATTTTCACACACAAACACACACATTAGAACTTCGTTTACTAATACTCATAAAGGTGATAGTGAGGAATTAATTAATTTCTATACTTAAGGTACAAGGTACTGTTATGAGGTATGAGGCCAAAAATAAAATTATTACGTTAGTAAAATTGAAATTTCTAAAAACTGTTCAAAACTCTAGACCAAAAGTTTAGAAATTTAAACTTACAATTAAATTTTTATGTAATTTCAACGATTTTGTTCTGTATGACCAAACAATCCTTACAAGCATTATTATAAATATTAATCCGAAAATAAAATGTAATACACGTACAACGTTATATCCTTTATCAATAACAGATGCTTCAGCGGCAATACATTGTGTTTGGTTCATTTTTATAAAAGCTATACTTGATAATTTAAAATTTAATTTAATATTTTAACAGACAATTTTAAAAAATTAAAAAAAAATACTTTTTCATTTCAAATTAAAATTTAATGTATAATTCTAAATATGTATGCATTTTCTAATTATGAAAAAGAATTCGAATTGTATTTTATTTTATATTTTAAATAAAAAATAAATTTCGGGAATTAGTCGTTTTAAATAAATATTATAGTTTTAATTAATTTTTATTTAAAAATTTTTGAACATAATTATTAAATAAATTAAAAACCATTAAATTTCAATTTTGTTTAAAAAATAACAGAAAAATAAGAACTTATTTTATTCAGTTTTAATAAATTAATTTTTAATATTATATAAGATTAAAATTACCTAAAGTAAATAGTAATTAAATTTATTTAGTGTTTATACATATTTTTAGTAATATTTTATGACTCTTAGAATTTAAGAAAAATGTGAAATTTAAAGTTAAAAAAATTCTGGGGCGGTATTCAGAGAACGAGGTTGCGAGTTAACCAACCCTCAGCTGCGGGTAGGTTAACCCAGAACCCTTATTCATAAATGGAGGTAGGGGTAACCCTCAGCTGTGGGTTAGTTAGTTTGCATGCGTCGCAGCAAATTGAATCCCAATGGAGGGATATAGAGGGATCATGAGTAGGGTTGCCGTTTTCAAACTCTAAAATGAAAATCAAAGTTTAAAAACATTTATTTTTGAAAAAAAATTTTTTTCGGCCTAATTTCCAGCCTTGGACTCGAACCCAACCCTATAAAAGTATCAGGGGCCTGGTTCAATTAGCATCATATCTGCGATGTGATGATATGATGATCATATGCGTGTTCCAATTAAGATCATATCATCATATCGTCATAATCATATGCAGGAACCTCATATGACGGCTGCATATGATTTGTCAGTCATATGACGACGTCGTATCATCATATGATTGTTTCAATTAAAAATCATACTTACGATATGATTGGTCGTCATATTGTCATATTTCCGATGTAAAGGAAAAGGGAAAAAATATTTTTAATTTCTTAAATTTTCTTTGTGTTGATGTGTGGCTGAATGATTAAGGCGACTGGCTCACTAACTGTGATATTTTTATGGGGTTGGGTTCGAGTCCAAGGCTGGAAATGAGGCCGAAAAAAACTTTTTTTTTAAATAAATGTTTTTAAACCTTGATTTTCATTTAAGATTTTTAAGTTGCCTATTAGAGAGATTGAGTTCCTTTTTCGCTCAAAAATGGGGTACTTTACACGAGAGGGCATAGTAAATTTATTTTTAAACAAAAAATTTTATAAATTATATCAAAAAATAGAGCACACTCTATCCTATCTAAAAATATTTAATTCGGAATTTTTAGGTTGAATTAGGATTTTTAAAAATTTTTAAAAATCTCTTTAATTGGCACATATGCACCAAAAAGCACGTTTGTCTACATATGATGTTTCCAAGGACAATTAGAGAATTATTAATTAGAGTTTTAATTATCAATGAATTCCCTGTAATTAAGGTTTTCGATAACCTTTTCCAACTTTAAATTTTTTTTCCAACTTTAAATTGTCAAATTTTGGGTGATATTCAAAGAAGAGGGTTGTGGGTTTTGTCTACCCGCAGCTGCGGGTAAGCATCGAGTTCTGGGTTGATTTTTTTTGAATAAGGGTTAACCCTCAGGGCCCGTAGAATAAATTCGGGGTTAGGTTACCCGAGTAACTTTTCCCCCACAAAACGAAGAAAAGAGAAAAATCCTTGCGCCGAAGAAATGAAGAAGAAAAGAAAGAGGAAAAGAATACGGTAGAGGTGGAGGGTAAAATTGTTACACTGCTAAGGGGCAGTGTAGACATTTTATTTAAAAAATCCTTAAAAATCGAGATCTCATGGAAAAATTATAAATTTAATATTTTTGGATAGTTTGAAATGTCCTCTATTTAATGATATAAATTTTGGAATTTTTTCTTGGAAAATCAATTTATGGCAATTTTTAGAAAAAAGTACCTCATTTTTTAGTCATTTTTTAAGGAAAAGTAGTACCTTGCTAGAAAATTCATAACTTTTAGATAGGTCGGTCAAAATTTTTGATTTTTTGGTAAAACATAGTTAACATTCCAATCTATGTTTTGGCATAAAAATAAAATTTTTATCGCCATTTAAAAAAAAGTTATGAATTTTCTCCTAAATAGGGAGAATAAGAAGCGGGTAGCGGCGCCAAACCCTTTGCTTAGGGTCAAGTCGGCGCTGCCGCTACCCGGGTAACCTTACCCTCGAATTTATTCTACGGGCCCAGCTCGGTGTTCTATTACCCGGGTAAGAGAACCTGGTAAATTTACCAGGTACCCTTACCTCGTTCTCTGAATACCGCCCCTGAAGTTAAAATTTTATATAAAATTTTTTAATTTTTATTTAAATAAATTTTTTGAAATTCTAATTAAAAATATTTCTTTAAATTTTTGCAAAAAAAAATTTTTATTTTTTAAAAAATAATAAATTTAGTTTTGATAAAAATAATTAAATGGAAAATTGAGTAAATTTATTATTAAAATTGCAAATCTAAATATTAAAAATTATGGAGAAGTGTAAATGAATGAATAAGCATTTTCTTCATTAAATAAACAAAAGGCGGAACTAACAAAACTTAATTTAAATTTATTAAATAATTTAATAAAATTTATAATACATATAATAGATCAAATTTAAAATTTATAGACATTCTGTTAAATTGAAAAAAATTAGCTAATTTTATTGAAATTAAATTAATTATTTAATTTTTTATAAATAAGCTTTATTTTTAATATTTATTAAATTAGAAATCAAAGTCAGAGTATAATTTTTGTGAAAATTTGTAAATAATTTTTTACAAAATTTTTCTTGTTTAAATGATAGATCATTTGTAATTTTTTTAATTAATAAATTTTCTAAATTAATTTTATAAAGAATTTTATCTGCCATATAGACGTATAATTTTAGTAATTATATTTTCGTGTCTTGGTGACAGACTAATAAACGGTTTTGGTGATATTTTTTGAAGAATAATTCTGCGTAAATTTCTTTTAACATAATCCTTAATCTTACCACAAATTTCTTTAAATTTAAAATCCTTCAACTAATTTTTTTAAATACTGGTAAAATTTTCTTATTTTGTAGAGTCATAACTCAACCCTATTTATAAAAAAAATTTAAATTATTATTTTGTAACTACTAAAAATTAAAAAGTTTAAATCTTTACAAAATCTTTACATAATATCAATCCAAATCATTAAAACAATATTCTGAATTTAATTTTTCCTTTTCTTGTTTAATTTCAATAAATATTTCAGAATTAATACTTTTACTGCTTCCTTCCTTCCTTGTTCCTATTCTTCTCTTTTAATTTCATTAATTGTTGTTAAATTCTGATTTAATTTATTTTTTTGTATTTCTAAATTTAAACTTTCAATTTTTTTTTCTAATTTATTTTTATTTTTGTTAAAATAAAAAAGTCCTCTTTTATCATTATAATCATACAATTTTAATATTTTTGTTAATTTAAATGTTTTATCCAAAGGTAAATAATCTTTACTTTCAATAATTAATTTACTAATTTTTTCTCTTAAAATTACATTTATTACTGCATAAACAAAAGGTTCATTTGAAAGACCCAAATTTGTTGTTTCATATACTTTTTCGAATAATTTATTTTTTACTTTTTCGCTAATAATTTTTTTGTCAAATGAAGTTGATATATTATCTGAAAAGAAGAAAGAAATTCTATAGAGATAGTCTGTAATTTGTACAAGTTGATTGGTTATATGCACTGATTGAAACACGAAAATTTAGAATACCAAAGGTTCATTTGAACCTGGCAATTGAACCTGGCAATTTATGCGATGAACCTGGCAATTTATGCGATTTGCCAGGAATCTGGAATTTCCTAGCAATTCTTTGACAATTTCTTAATTTTATCACTAAAGTTATTATTAACAATCAACAAGTGTTATGAATATGGAGATTAAATAATTAAATTTTATAATAAAATTCTCAAATTCACAGATTCATGGAAAGTTATAACGCAGTCCCAACGAAAGATTGCCCAAATATTAAATTCCAAAAACTTCACTAAAATATTTATATTTGAATGTAGTTTGCAAAAAATTTTCAAAAGTGATAAAATAAAAATTTGACAACTTTTCAAAATAAAATTTTTTCCAACCCCGTCCCCCCCCCCTCCTCCCCTTCTACAACAGAATAACCTCCTTCTACAGCAAGCATATTTTCCAATATTTCTTTCCTTTTACTTTCTTCGAAAAATTTTTCAAAATATTTGACAATTTCTTCGATTTTTATTTCCTTATTTATTAATATTATTTTAAATTTTTCTTTAAATTCTCTATAATAATTATCTTTTTCATTAAAACTAAGTTCATGGGCATCCATTAATTGATAAATTAATTTTTTGTTATTATTTTCAGAATTAATTTCAATAATATAAAAAAATAAAAGAATAATAAAAATTAATAGTAAATTAAATTTCATAATCTTAAAAATAACTTCAAAATATTTTAATTAATAAACATTAAAATGTTATAAATATAGAGTAATAAGAAAATAAAGATCTTCTGTGGAAAAAAAACAAAGATTAATTACGAGAGAAAGAAATTATAAATACTTCAATTAAGGATTTATATAATTTTAATTACTAGCCTGTTATTTAGTGGAAAAAATAAAATAATAAATATTATTTTTTAAAAATTATTAATTTAAAAAAAAAATAACAGCCTTGCCTTGCAAGTGCAATTTCATAATGTCTAGCTACATCTTTGCTTTTCATGTGAATTTTTTTTGAATATTTAAATTAAAAATTTGACTTTTGCAGCATGTCTAACTTTAAAAAAGTATTAACACCAGGTCGAATGACACCAAAAGTCGAATAAAGTCGAATTTGGTGTCATTCGACTTTAACAAATTTGATAAAATAAAAAACCGATCCTGGTCTAAAATATAAGCCTTTTAGGGGATTTCAAGGTTTTAGCCCTGAAACCCAGCCCAGGTCCATGCAAAATTAATAAGCCTGATTTGGGGCCCTAAATTTGAGATATCGAACTCTATTTAATTCTTTAATCTCTATTAAAAATTAAACGGCAGGAATTTTCTCTTTCTCTAACATGCTAAATTAAGTTTTCAGCGTGTATATCCACGTTGATTGAAACTCTATAATTTATCCAAGTTTCTAAATATGGAAAATAAATTTTTTTATAAAGCATTTACGCATCTAAATTCACGTGTTTAAAGAAGATTCAATTAAATTTATATGTGAAGATTGATTTTTTTAAAGCTAATTTTTAAAAAGATGAATTTAAGAGGGTTCTGCGAATAAAATATATATAAAATTATTTGAACAGCTTTAATAAAAATTTAATAAAAAAAGATGATACAAAGCCTTTAAAAGCGTTTAGTCAATTAGGGATAAACCAGAAATTTAATAAAAATTAAATAAATTAAATCTTCTAAATAAAAGTTTTTAAAAATGAAATTATTATTTGTGACTTGCATTGGTTTTATGGCTATTACAATTTCTTTAGCCCAATTATCAAATTACCCAGAAGGGCCTGTAGATCAAGGTGAAAAATATTTTGATGTATCGAATTTGAATTTTTTAAATCAAAAATTCAAATGAGTTTAGTGGCTAAAAAGCCATATTAAATAAAAATGCATTTTCAGGTGATGTGAGCACTCCTGCTAGCACATCAGATATTCCTGATTTTTGCAAGAGCAATCTAAGGAAAAACAAGAAAGTCGACAAATGCTGCAAGGAAGTTGAGAAAATTCAATCTTCTGGCGGCTCATTGTGTCCAACTCCAAAGCCATGTACAATTGAAAAATGCGGACGTGTCTGTAACCGTTATTTCAGCCAAATGAGCGGTTGTAACGTGTCACCCAAGCCAGAAGATGATTGTGATAAAGGCAAAAAACAAAAACATACAAAGCCACCAAAACAAGGTTACCCATCAGGATCCGATAATTTGCCTGAAGCTACAAAACCCCCAAAAGGAGGAAAAGCCTCTGCAAAGCCACCAAAACAAGGTTACCCATCAGGACCCGATGATTTGCCTGAAGCTACAAAGCCCCCAAAAGGAGGAAAAGCATCAGCAAAGCCACCAAAACAAGGTTACCCATCAGGACCCGATGATTTGCCTTTAACAACTCAAGAACCCGGCTATCCCGGTGATTTGCCTGAAGCTACAAAACCCCCAAAAGGAGGAAAAGCATCTGCAAAGCCACCAAAACAAGGTTACCCATCAGGACCCGATGATTTGCCTGAAGCTACAAAACCCCCAAAAGGAGGAAAAGCATCAGCAAAGCCACCAAAACAAGGTTACCCATCAGGACCTGAATCGGTTGTAACCACAACAGGTTGTTCAGCAGAAATAGTACCTTAATTTCATGCGGATAAATGGATGATGGGTATAATGGGATAAATAAAAATCAAAGTAACAAATAAATACATATACGGGAAGACATAAATTTATTCACAAATATTCTGGTATTCGAATTTAATATATAATTTAAAATTAAAACCTTTCAATTGTAATCTTTTAATAAATTTTTGATAAATAATTTATATTCTGAAAAATTTTTTATCGTACATTGTTCTTGTCAAATTTTACTACCTGCGATAACAATAGTAAATCTCTGTCCCAAAAATATAAGCACCCCAAAATTTTTGTAAAAAACACATAATCCCTAAGTATCATCTGTTTAATTTTCCCTACATTAGCAGCGATCCATATCGTCAATAAAAATAAAGTTTCAGAAAACTGAAAGAAATCCAAATCTCGCTGACAGAAAAACCAAATTATCGGTTTTCGGGAATCGTGAATTTCCGAAAATTTCGAATGTTTTCATGAATCGTGAATTCACGAGCCAAAAATGACAGTAATTCCTGATTTTCGGGAATTTTGCTTTTTTGGTGAGGGATTAGAAGAAATTACGAGGGGTTAGATGTATGAGAGTTTAGAAGTACGGAGATTGATATCAAGTGATAAAAGGGGTTCATAATTGATTAAGGAACACTTAAGTGATATTAATGTATCAAGGATAAAGGGATTTGAGGCAATAAAAAAGGATTGAAGGATATTAGGGCATTTTGGAGGATTAAGAGTGATCAGGAGAGAGATTAGGAATTATGTGAAAAGATAAAAGGGATATGGAAAAATACCGTGGGATTAAAGAGGATTTGGAGGTATTCTCAAAATCTTTCGATATCCTCATAATCATTCCATCTCCTGCGTACTGGCCAAAATTTTGAAAATTTTGGAAGGCCAAGGAGCCAGCTTTCTTCCATCTTCCATCTATATATAGAAAAACAACCCAAAAAAACTAAAATTTAAAATACTTTGGAAGTAATGGTCGAATCCGAGTAAATTTTTTCAAAATCGGTAATACCCTACAAAAAGTGAGACGAGGTTTTTTTCCAATTTACGAACAAAAAATTAAGATGAATGACGAAGTCGAACGGTTTCGGTCGTGTTTGAAAAAATCTCGATTCGATTCGCTATGTTAATCACGATCCGATTCGTTATGCTTCTTTTAAAGGTTTAAGTTTAAAACGTTTGTCACTCCACAGTTTTCGTTTATAATAAATTATTTGCTTAGATATTTCATAAATAAAAAATAGATATTATTTAAAAAAATTTTCTTTTATTTTATTTTCTAAATTATTAATTTTAAAAATATTTTAAAATCAAAAATCTTTAACAACCACACATTTCTTCCCCATTGCTTTTTAAATCAATAGAAATAATTTCCAGTTGTTATGAATCATTCTCGTTTTTTTCGTTCTTTTTTGCCTGTCATTTTTTGTATGCTAGAAAAGATTGTTCAAAAGAGTTAAATTTTGAAAAAAAATTTAAAATTCACATTCATATTTAATTATTTTTGTTAAAATTTAAGTATTAAAATGATATTAATTTTTGTTATGTATATTGTACTTCCAGTCCTTCCCACCTTTGAGAGACAACGAGGAGACTATCAAAATTTTTAACTTAAATAACCTCACGTTTTTTTGGTTCCTTCTCTTGTACCCCAAATGTTCCTTTATTACTTAATCTAGTTATTCTGTCTGAAAATAAAAATCCAACAAACATTTTTACCAAAATATTTTTATTGTTCAATTACTTTAGGTACTACTGGTAAAAATAGTAATCGTATTAACTACTTAATACTCTTACTTTATTTTTAATTATTTAAGAGGATTTAGATAAAAATAATTAAATGTTTTTAGTGAGTTTATTAATACTATTTTTGCGTAATTATTTTTACTTTTGATTCAGAATTCCTCTGAAATTCCTCTCAATTCCCATAAAAACAAACAAAAAACTTTTAAAAGTTCCTTTTCAATAATTTTTTTCTCCAGTTTTAATTAAACTTTTTAAAATAATGCAAGAATCTAATATTGATCTCAACTCAACTCCCTACGGTCCACATATTCAAAATATATTTATTGATAATCAAGAATCGCCTGTCAGGGTTTTAATGGCACATGAATGCGTTTCTTACTATTTGCCTTCCTCTAGTTCTCAATCGTTTGGTAATTATGTGTTAATTAAAAAATTAAGTTACTACCAAAGCTAAATTTCGATCATTTTTCAGGACCGATAGAATTCTAGTCTTTTTCGATACCGTCTTTTGGTAATACCGGACCATTACTGAAAAGACAATTTCCCAAAATTACCTTAAAAATAACTGCCTCTACTGCTAATGTGACAGTTCCCTTGCGTGTTAGAACAAATTTTCTTAGTAAAAAAATTTTTATTTTCAATTACCGAAATTTTATTTTCGGCCCACCTATTCAATGTCAAAACCACTAATAAAATTGGCAAAAATTATTTTTTAAAGATAGATCTGAAGAAGAATACAATGACAGACCAATTTTGTGGCGATCTTTGATTAAAATATTATTTATGGGGTTATTTATAATTGTTTTTGTTATTGTTGTATTTAAAGTTATTGAAAGAGAAGTTACTAAAAGGATTGAGATGGAAAGGCAACAAAAGAATAGTTCATATAGAATGGGATGAAATTACTTTTGTTTATTTAAATTATACTAACTATATTACTTAATACTTCGTTTATTTAATTTTTTTTGTTTTTATTTATTTATAAAGATAAAATTATTTTTTTCCAATTAATGACGCAGAATTTTTCTTTCTTGTCATGTAAAAGTCCCTCCAAATACACTGCTCCACAAAATTAGGTTTATAAAAATTTTTATTAAAATCAGTAAATTATTTAAAAAATAACTAACTATACAAAAAATTCATTTCCATGAAAGATTTAAATTTTTAAAATACATTTCTGAACTCATATTCATAGTATTAATTTTAACAAAATTCTTTTTAATTTCATTCTGTTTCTTTAAAAAATAGTTGTAGACAATTAATGTTATTATGGCGTGAATAAAAATCAACTTAAATTTAAAAAACTTTTTAGGTACTGATTTTTAAATTTTAAAATGTCCTAGGGTGCAGTCTAACCTAGTGACTAACAGAATAACACAAGAATAGAAGGTTACTCAAATAATAAATAATTTGCAATTATTCAATAAAAATTTTTTAAATTTTTGCCTAAAATTTAATTTTCAATAATTGGTAAAAATTTATAATTAATTTATTCAGCAGAACCTCATGAAATTCAAAAATCGTATGCGGGGGGGGGGTAAGTTTTGTCGTTAATTTATTTTAAAATTTTTAAATATTTACTAGAGTTAAGCTTTCATGTGCCCGTATATACACAAGCTGGCCATATTCTTCACGTTTATATCGAATAAAGTTTGTCAAAACAATAAATATTGTGTAGATAAATGAATAAGAAAAGTCAAGGGGGAAAATGATTTTCATTGAAAGAATATTCTGTTTAGCTTGATAACTTTTGTTTAAACTGTAGTTTGTTGTGGATTTGAAACTTTAAATTTAATAAATTAACTGATTTATTTTTATGTAAGTCGAGATCGGTAAAATCGCATTTACAGGATCCTGTATCAGGATTGAGTTTTAAAATTTCGAACAGGACAGGATCCTGCATGATTAATCCTGATAATCCTGAGAACTAAAAAAAAGGCAGGATTTCGTACAGGATCCTGAAAAATCCTGTGCAGGATCCTGTCCTGTGCCGATCTCTATATGTAAGTTTAAATACATACAAATTTAATTTAATTTTTTGATTCCGACGAATTAAATAATAATCAGCTATAGCTATACATATTACCAAAAACAGGAGGAAGGAGTTTAAGTATATAAGGGGGTGAGAATTGTAATTATTTGTTAATGTTACATAAACAACTGGATAACTAAATGTGTCTGTATCCATTTGTGTTGTAATGTAAATGTAAAGGCCAAACATTAAACTTAATAACCACTATAATGTTTAATTTAAATTTAGTTATTATTCCAAATATTTAAAATTTCTACCACAATAATTGTGCTAATAACTCCGAACATTTTCTCTTGATTTTCATAAATTTTAACATAAAATGTAGCCAAAACACGTTCAATCATTATAGCAAAATGAGATAATGAAGAACCAACAATATACATATAAGAGGGGATCTTTATCAAATAAACTAACCAAACTTGAGTTAAACAATCACAGGGATTTGAATATGTGAATAAAACTATCTTTAAATTAATTATTAAGGAATCTTTCAAAAATTAAACAAACAAAATTAATAACAGATTCAAGCATAAATGACAGTGCATAAATTGCATAAAAAAATAGAACATTGCTGATTAATATCTTAAATATTTTATATTTCAAAGATCAAATTCCAAATAAATATTTAAGTATATGACGACCGACAAACAAAATCGTTCCCAATCGCGATCAAAAAACGCATCTCAACCAGTGTTTGAAACACCGTACCTAAATTCGTACACATAGCTGTATACGAAGTACGAGTACGAGCAAAAATATAAGGGTACAGCCCAGAACGCGCAAAGCCATAACGTTCTGGAAAATGTCAGGCCGTTATTAATTTTCTTCTAAAATTCTCAAAATTTTTGCCTGCGTGCTCAAAACAAAATAAATCTGGCTTCTTGACCTTCAAAATGCTAGAATTTTTTGCATATTTCTCAAGTACGGGGAAGTAAGAGGTACAAGTACGAGGTACGAGGCCAAAAATAGGGCTTGTACGAGTAGGAGGGAAAATAAGGCCTGTACGGAAGTACAGTACGGGCAAATTTCGAAATCCCAAACACTGTATACAACCAAAGTGAATAGACCGATATTTTAGAAGGAAATTTGTATGAAATCTTTTTTGAATTATTTATTTTAGCTATATTATTATTATTTTTAGTATTAAAATAACAATAATAAACATTGCATACTTTCCAAGACCTATTTATTCATTTATGTGTATTCTCCTACGTGTCTGGTGATTTCG